CAAATTCTTTTTGTGGCCATTAATTTTAGGAGTTAAATTTTGCTACAGAGAGTCGTTAAAAAGTGGTGTTTTTACCGAAACCCATTTAAAAATTACTGAAAAATTTTGTCTTCTTCTTCTTTTTCTTCTTCCTGTTTTTTCAATCTGCACAAATCGTTTTTTCTCATTCTGTGTTTTCATACACTGTTGGCCTGTACATTCAAAAACAATGAAAATTTATTTTTTCTCTGCTAATTTATAAATAAATAAATAAATGAATATGGATATATAAGTGTACAAATACATACATTTATATTTATTTATAGATATTTATTACTCTCATTGTTATTGTTATTAGTTATTTTTATTGTTGCTTAGTTAAGGCAGTAAATATTTAACTGAGATAAATATTACACTGTTCAGTGTGATGGTGATTATCACTGATCAGATTCATTTTTTGACTCTGTTTATGTATATTGAATTTGTTAGAAAAAAATTTAAAATTTTGAATACTTCTTCATTTTCTTTTGTCATCTTTTATAAAGCAATTTTTATCTTTGTTTTTTGTTTAGGAATATATTTTTTCTTTTGACATCATTACTGAAGCTTCCGTAATTGTTGTTGATACTAAAGTGGGCGTATTTAAACAATAATTTTCAGACTGTTAATAAGTTAATTTTTGATTGTCAAAAAGAAAGAAAAAAACGTTATTAGGTTTTAGTAAATTCTATAAAAAAGTTTCAGAAGAAAAGAAAAAGTGAAAGATAAAAGTTGTTAATAAATTTGATAATAAACTTACTGAATTAAACGTCTCAAATAAATCGCTTTGATGGTGACCAGTTCGAAAAGAACCGGTCGTTTTTTGTTTTATTACTGTACAGTGATAGTTTACTGTTTTGCTGAAGTTTAATGTTGTCGTTGTTAATGGAAGAAGTAATTTGAGTAAATGAAAAGAGCGCAAATTTTCTTCTGTATCTTTTAGTTATCAAAAACGTTTTCTTTTTTTTTTTCAGATGATTTGGAAAGCGAGGTTTGTGAAACGGTGACTGACAATTTCGTTGAAAGATGCCGATATTTTTGATGCAATTATTATACCTCGTATTTGTTGTCGGCTATGTATCAGGCGCTGGGTAAGCATCAGTTTTTTAAACGACTATATCACTTTTTTGCTTTGTTTTGTTTTTTTTTTTACACCTAAAATATTGTTTCGTCTTTGTTTACTGTATCTGTGATGATGTCAGTAACGGAAATTTGCACATCAGTTTTTCTAGGGGCCGCTCAAATATGAAACGTGTTCAGACTTCGTTTGGTATAGTTGAAGGCGAAATTGTTTCCCCAAATGTTGATGACCTGCCGACTGTTGTACAGTTTTTAGGTATTCCATATGGTATGACTCCAACCGGCCAGGTATGTTAATTAGTTTGTTGAAAAACGAGTATAACTGGAAAAAAATTGTCCAGCAATTTAAGTTTATCGGGTAAGATTTTTAGTCACGTTTTAACATGGTTAGATCGGCACCAAAATGGAGCCATATACCAAAGCAGACGACTCGGTTGAAGAGTGTGTGTATTCAAGATCTTCCGGAACTGTCTACGTCAAAGTATCATTGTTTTTTTTCTTTTTTTTTGAATAGAATTTTGATAAAATTTAAAGAAGCATTTTTCATCAATTGTTAAAGTTCAATAATTTTAGCGGTTTAAAGTTGACGTCAACACAGCGCTTTGATTTTATGCATCGAATGTATCCACGACTTTCGATGCAATCCGAAGACTGTTTATATATGAACCTTTATGTTCCCATTAATCCGGGTAATTCAATTTCTTGTTTAACAACAACAACAGTTTGGTTTTTTGACAAAACAAAGCAGTTATTTTTTAGAGCAAAAGAAAAGTTTTTTACGGGCAATGAACACTTTAATAAAACTTTGTCGTTGTTTATAGATATATTTAATGGGAAAAATAATTTTCCTTGAAAAAAATTGCTTTTGTTACTGTCGTCGAAATTCATTACTGAAATTGAGCAAAGACTGAAAAAATCAAATTACTTTTAAAGTTTTTTCCTTTAGAGACTAAAAAGGATAAATTATCAACACTGGTAATTGTTCATGGTGATGACTACGGGTGGAGCGCTGGCAGCCCTTACAATGGAACGCTGTTAGCCTCATTTGGCGATATTATTGTTGTAACACTCAATTATCGTCTTGGCGTTTTTGGTAAGCACACAATTAACCACCAAGGAGAATTAAAGACGGAAATTTTTTCACCTTGGTCAACAACTGCTTTTTAGTTAGTAACACTTTCTATGAGATTGTTAGCAAACTGTTTATTGGCTTACAGTTCAAAATATTGTTTAGGAAACATATCTGATCTTTCCTTTTTTTTTTGCTGCAGGATTTTTGGGACGATGTCAAGGTTCCTGTGTTGGAAACTGGGCAATTTCAGACCTTGTTACTGCTTTAAATATGTTGAGCAATATAATCGAATCTTTTGGCGGAGATCGTAACTCAATTACGTTGTTAGGATGGGGATCCGGAGCATCATTAGTAATTTTTTTGCGTATTGCAGTAGAGCGAAGTGTGTTTGGCAAAACTGATGATGAAAACGCTTTGTTGTATAAGTGTAATGCAGTTAAAAAAAAAGATTAAATTTTTGACTTTTGGTTTTGCAGAAGGTGAAAAGAAAGGAAAAACAATGAATGATGTTTTAGCTAAAAAAGATTTCATTTATCACAGGTGTCTCTTTTAATGGCATCACCGATGACATTCCCAAAGAATCGATTATTTCGACGAGCGATACTGCTTGATGGAACAGCACTGGCACCGTGGGCAATGATGAAACGATCCAACGATCGCTTCTATCACTTGGCTCATGAGCTCAAGGTTTTTTTTATTTTAAATTTTAGAATTTAAATTGGAAGGTGATGTCCACTCAGCTTAAAACTTCTCTTTAACTCAGCATTGTTTAGTTGTGTTTTTGAGTATGTATTTGGCGCGAGAGAAATGCCATAACTGAACTCATCAAAGAGTTTTAGTGTGCTGATATCAAATTGGCGAATAAAAATGTCAAAAATATTGAAAGCATTTTGCAATGTATGCAAGATCATAGTGCTGAAAATATCACACAAGCAGCCAGGAAGATACAGACACCAACATTCTTGTCCAAATTTGGTCCCATAATTGACGGCCAGGTATATTTCAATTACAACTAACTTTAAGTAATTGTTTTAAAAAAGAACATTGCTAATGACAGTCGTCAAAGAACTTTTTTCATTATCCGCAGATATATTTATAATTCAGTGATTAACATAATTCATTAAACACTTAACCACAAAAACCATTTTTTTTATTATTGTTAAAGTTCGTTATTTTTAGGCTGTTCCGCACTATCCAAGAAGAATCTTTAGCGTTCCGTATGGTAATCTGTTTCGAGATATTGATTTACTGGTTGGATTGACAATACATCCGGCACATCATTTACTTGCTGATGATTTCTACAAATATGGTATGAGTAAAGAAGATCGAAAAAAAATTTTAAGGTAAGCAACTTTTCTGATGGAAAGAAAAAACTTTTTGCTTTTTTTTTTCTGTTAAACTTAGGTTAATGTGTGATGAATGCAAAAAAACCCAGTAGGTGGTTGTCAGGTAACTTCATCTGCAGTTAGCAAAGACCTTCCGCCTTTTTTTTTTTTTTTTTGGTTTTTGACAAAATTTATGCCAAAGTAAGGCTTAGAAAGTTTTTTATTTGTTGGTTGGTCAAAAAATGATGATAAAAAAACAGAATGTTTTAAATTAATTCAATTACAGTTAATCAGCAATTATAGAAATAGATTGTTTCGTTTAGAACACTTGTGCGAAACTTGTATGATTATCATCGTAACGAGGTTTTGGCAGCAATAATTAAAGAATACACAGACTGGGATAATCCTCGGGTAGGTCATAAATTTTGTTTAGAATTTGTATAAACGTGTAAATTTTGCTTTTTTTTTTCTACTTATTCTTAGCAAAAATTTTTAGCGGAAAAAATAAAAAGAATATAACCTCAATTTATTTGTTCCTTTCTAGGAACATCCAAGAAAACTTCGGGACGGAGTACTTGCAGCACTTAGCGATGCTCTGTATATTGCTCCACTGATTGAAACTGCTCGGCTTCATTCCATGAACCCGAATGCTGGCAAACGAAAAAGCACTACTTACATGTTTGTAATTGGTTTAGGTTATTTCCGCAAAAGTTTTTTTTAGTTTTAACGTGCTGAAAAACAGATTTAATGGTAAGTAATTTTCACAGCTTATACATTATATTCTTAGGTTTGTGTTCACACATGAAACAAAAAGTCAGATGAAAGAGAAACCGAATAGTGGAATTATCGGATCTATTACTGGTGACCATCTTCCTTACATATTTGGATATCCGCTATGGAACGCTGAAGGAAAGGTAAAGTCATTGTCAAAATTTATTTTTTTATTTTGCACTCGAAAATAAACCTATGGTAGGTTCAGTCTTTCTTTTTTTTGAACTAAAAAATTAAAATGTTTATTCATAAATGAATGCACATCATTTCTGCGAAAACTCGCTCTATTTCCCGTTTTATTCCGCCCATAATCTTTTTCGGTTCCCTACTGCATCGATTCTTTTGCTGCAGTACAAATACTGTTTACCTTTAGAAATTAGACGTATGATTCAGAGTTAATACTAAGAAATGTTTGGCCGAAAATATTTGTAGTAAAGGCTAGCCTTTAAAACGGAAGCTAACTAAGTTCTACTTTACGTATCTCTTTTCCGTATCTGTAGAAAAAAGAAGCCATTAGGAATAAAGCGTATCAAATGCTTCCATAAAAACGAAGAGAGCAATCTTCAACATTTGATTCTGAAGGCATAAAACCCTAAAAGATTTTCTTTTTGAAAAAATTTATTTCTATGGCTTGTTACTTAACAAATTCTGCTTTTTAGCTCTATTATGACTTTAGCGAAATCGACAAAGGAATATCTCGAGTTATGATGAATTACATATCAAATTTTGTTAGATCCGGGTATGTTCGGGAGTCATTTGTTCTAAAAGCAACGTCTGTTGGAATAGCACCTTTTGGATTATAAACTGATCAACTTTTTGATGGTTTATAAAGGAATCTAGCTGCTGAAATATTAATGCTGAAGAATCTCACTAAAGTCTATTGTTTATGCAATATTATTAGTTATTGTTCACATCGCAGCGTTGTGCTGATGATTGATTATTTGAGAATCGTTTGCAGAGCATCGTCTTTTCTTTTTTTCAGTGATCCTTCAAAGCCACAAGATATAAGTCCGGTCACTGCTGTTGAGGAGAAATATGGTCATGTGCCGTGGTTACCATTCAATCAAGCTAATCGTGAGCCCTACATTGAAATAGGTACCATAAAAAATTTTTATGTTTTCTTTTTTTATTACTTATTTTGAATTGGTTGAGTATGCAACAAATTCAGGACTGTTTTAGCTGATCGTCCACGAGCGAGGAACTACTATCGTAATGCACATGTTGGCTTTTGGAATGATTTTCTTCCGCACCTTTTCACTCCAAACCGTGATGATATTATAATACCTGAGGTTTTGTTTCCTCTGGATTTTCTTTTTCTGATAAATAAAGTTTTAAACTATACAGAACAATAGCGCAGTTGACTATATTATCTGTTCTTGTGGGCTAAATGGTTAGCTGTTTAGGAGCACAATTATTTACCGGACCATTTTAAAAAGGATACCTTTTATGGCGTTGTTCGACCACACGCTCCATTTTTAAATGAACCATTTATTGCTCCCCCACCATCACCGCCGCCGCTTCCAAATGCTAAAAAATTGTCGACACGTAAGATTTATTTATTTATTTATTTTTTTGGTGTAAATAATGCTTAAGATTTTTTTTAGAAAGTAATTCTCTTTAAGGGATTAACAAATATCCCGGCTAAACGTTCTGGCAGTTTGTTGTTTGAAAAGAAAAAATTTTTTTTAGTTCAGCAGAAAACAAAAACCGATGTAACCGAAATTCTTTCAGCTTCTCCAGTAACGACGCCTAAACCAAGCTTAGTAACGGCGGTCAACGAAGCAACGGTAGGGCAAAATAGTACTATGCTTTCCGTTACTGTGGCAGTCGGTTGTGGACTTTTGCTGTTGAACATCTGTGTTGGACTTGGACTCTACAGACAGGTTCCTTTTTTTTAATTACATCTAACTTTTGATCTGTTTGAGAAATTTTTTAATTTTTTTCAATGACAAGTGAGAGGAAGGAAATTGAACAGTAATTTTATTTAACCCCGTTAATGTACTGTTTTACTTTTTTTAAGCGTTTTATGTAAAAAATTTAAGTATTTTTTGTGGTACTTATAGTTTATTTTTGTTTAATTAAAATTGGAAGGTTTTCAAAAAGAAAAAATAAAAAATAAATTAGGGTGAAAAAAAAGCTCTTTTCTTGTTCCATTAATAAGCTATGGGTTTCCAAGCAAACATCGTAAATGGATGATTTATTATGTGTTAAAAGTTTTTTTTCTCTTTTTAGCTTTTCTTTTTTTATTTTACAGTGTAATAACAGACGTGATGAATCGAAAAATAAGCCACAACTTCAGTATCAATCCTATGCAGCAAATTTACAGCCTGGCGGTGAATTAAACTATAGTCTTAATACACCACTTGGCCAACAGGTTAGTTTGATCGGTTTATTTTTGTTCCCGGTTTGCCTGCTTGTGTATATTGGTGTATTTTTTCCTCCCAAATTCCCGGAACATTTTGATAGTTTGTTGAGAAGATTTACAGGTATTTGAAGATAAGTAATGTTTAAAATTGACCATCCCCGTTTGACACAAATCAGAAATAACTGTTGTTTCAAAAGCTATATACAACTGTTTTTATGGGTTTAAAAACTTTGTGCAGAAATATTTGCTTTTTTTTTTCTTTGTTGAAAGTGATGATGGAAAGAAATTTTTCGAATATTTTCTTCATTGTTTTTTGGAATTTGAAGAATCAGGTGGGAAGGTGATAAAAGAGTTTTAAGTTTTGCGCTGTTAATCTTTCATCAGGTTTTTTTTTTTTTTGAAAATTCTTCAACAGTCGCTGTCGTCATGAATTTTTTTCTTTTGCAGTTTCAGAACTGTTCCATTGATTTGGAAGATCTTTGTTTTTTTTTTTTTTAGTAAAAAAAATGAGTAATCATTTTTTGTATGACGTAGACAAAGCATATAATATGCTATAAATTATTTCTTGAAGAGCAAAGAACGATTGTTCTAATTTCAAAGTATATTTCTTTGGAACATCTATTTGACAATAAAAATTGAAAGGAAAAAGAACAAAAAGTAATTCCAAATTTTCTGAAACAGTCAACTAAATCTCTCATAGAAAACTTTTTGATTGTATTATTATATCTGATTGAAGAAGAAGACTCGGAAAAAAAAAACTTTTTTTGGTTAAGTTGCTTATAGGATATACATAAATTTAATATTTACTTTTTATCAGATGCTTAACAGATGCAATAAGCTGAAGAAAAAAAAAAAGGAAAAGAAGGACGGATAAACAATAATAATAACATCAGGAAAAAAACTGAACTTAATCAAATAACCACACTTAAACCTAAATATTTTTTTAGACAAAAAAATTAGCTTGCTTCGCCTCTTTCTGGTAGCTTTTTGGTTATATAGGAGACCAGTGATTTATTGCTGGTAAGAATCAATTCGTTTGTCTGATAATGACTACTGCTAAAAGATTTGATAATAAAACTAAAAGCAAACGAAATACAACAACAGTGAAGCACAGAAACTGACGGCAGTCAGTTGATGGGCATACATTAAATTAGCTAACCAAAAAAAGAAAAAAAAAAAAAA